AAATTACACTTACTGGGTTATGTCCCTTTTTCCCCACGTTTTTACTACAACGAGCCGATCCGCGGCGTATCATACGCCGCTATTTAGTTGATTTATTTTCTACTTTTCAGTAATTCATAATTTGTGAATTCGACAGTACCAATGCTGCCACTGAAAATATTTGCTTTAAAACACTAACCCCCCTCCTTTCCCCTAACCCCGACCCTACACCCCTCCCCCCCCGTGAAAGCAGCCTACTCTTAGTTACCTCCTGTAAGTTTAAAGTCGGTTCAAACTAAATTATCTGCCCCTAATAGCCGTCACTAAACCTGGCTGTACGGTTTGTAAACATTAACGTGACCACAGCTCAGCAGACCATGTGGGGGTGTGGTAGGGTGGTAGTGATGGTGATAGAGAGAAAGAGAGGGGACTGTAAGGAGGCGCTTGCAGCTTGTTTTCTAATGGCTCGCAGATTATATAGATTATATAGCGGTCTAAAATGCTCAATAAAATGTTTCCATGGATCAATTTAGTAATAATAACAATTGAATATTCTAATGTCATCCAAAACAAAGCTTCCCTGAAAATTTCAGCGCGCTAGCTAACTGGGAAGTGCCAGAAATTTCGATCGCAAGATTTGATTGGAAAGACAAACAGAGACGAAAGCAAGTTAAAGAAAACGTGGGAAAAAATGACCCAAACTGTAGGAATAATTTAAACCCAAGTATCAAGTACACAGCTGTAATACTTTCCATGCATCTAAAAGCATATGGCTATATTTAGAACCTCACACATGTTGTTACCCCTTCTGGTTTGCCCATGACACAGATTTGAATAAAATACTTAAAAAAAACTTTTTAAAAAACCACGTTTTTCTTGTGGACTAAAAAGTAGAAAATAAATTTTTCTTTTGTGCTTCCTCGAGCTGTGCAGGTTCTTGTGATGACTGACAAAAAACGTGGGTACGTTCACCATCAAATTTCCCGACCCATCTGCCCGACCCACTTTTCTATTTTTAAAAGTTTAAGTAATTAAAAATCATGTCTATATTACAAGTTATATAAGAATATTCGAGAAAGTTTAGGGGAGTTCACTCCCGGTTTATTAGTATTAGCAATTGAATTTTAGATTTAAATTTTGCCTTAGCTAATATGTAGGGAGAAAAGTACAATAAAATCATGACTAACACGCTAATTTCTAGATCTAGATAGTAGATCTACTAGATCTAGATAGAAGATACAGATCTATCTTAGTTGTATCTACTATCTAGAAACTAGGACTTTTTACTAGGTAGATCTAGGTCTCTTAACTTATATTTTATATTTCATACGATTTTACGAAGCCTTTAGCATTTGTTGTTCATATAGCCTAGAACATTGCAGGAATAATCAAATCAATTATGTTAGGTGAAAGCTAAGGTTTTTATTGGGGGGGGGGGGGGGGGTCTCTGGTTACTGGTTAATTTTTTTTTATATGTGAGCTGACATTATGCAGTATTTAATTTAATTGTAGCCTAGTGACATGTTATATATAACTAGAAGCCTAGTAATGTCATTAGACTAATTTTTAATTATTTATTTTTAATTCTGACTTTGTAAAGTGGCGTTCAAGCTATGTTCCTCTTTGTTAAGCATGACCAGTAGCGTACGCTCCCCCTCTGGCCATTTTCAGCAAAGTGGCGCCTTTTTGGAAACTTTTTAAACTCAAAAGTTTTAAACGATGTTTTTTGTTAAAAAATTATTTTTGGTCGGCACATCTATGTAAATCACAAGATTTCTTTTCATGCAGCAATTAAGCAGAATTGTACTATTCTAGTAGCGCCTACGTTTACAACACGTATTAACAGCTGTATCAATTTTGTCATTCTAAAAATAACCATTACGGTGCATTGCAATTTTAAAAAACCTCTACGGGTAGTACCACTTGGCTAGAATGTGTTAAGTTTAAGGCAACTGTATAAATACTATAATGTATTTGCTTAAGAATAATTGATCTAGAAAATATTATACATAAATCTTCACACATAATTACTTTATATATACAGTTTTAATCTTGTAATTAATTTAAAAAAAATTACAATAAGACACAAATACAACTGATGTGGCACCTCTTTATAAATTTACTTATGGGCATACTGCGTAGTGGTGGGGACATTTTGACAAGATCAACAACGTCATCACAATGAAGTAGTAGTATTATGACAGTTTGGGCGATAGTGATTACAAATTATATGAAACAGTTACAACCCCCCTCCCCCTATGGACCCCTCTGTAAAAAAAAATAGTGTCATAATACCACTGCTACTTATTTAAATCTATTTCTGAATCAGTATATATGTGTAATTGAATATGTATGTTTATAACAGTCATCTAAAAACTGACGCTATGTTCACTCTGTTCACCACACACACCTCACCACCACAATTGTGTAGAGTGACATTAATGTCACACCTAGGTATACACTGGGTTGGATAATTGAAAGTGACCGGACAGTGGTGAATGAAGTTGAATCCCCCCCCCCCCCTCCCACCCGAACTGATCTGTTAAGTACATTTGGGAAAACGCCTAACGATGTACCAAAGTACCATGCCGCCAGAATCATAGCTTTTGAATCAGGTAAAACTCTGTGAATATTGTTTTTGCAATTACCAGTAAAAAGGTGTGTGATCAATACAGTGATCTAACCCATACCTGATCACTATGTTAAAAAATGATCTTTAAAAGACCGATAAGTTAGTTAAATGTAAGCTATTATTCCGGAATATTTTCTATAATATTTAAAGCGTGTTTTTATACCAACTCTGATTTAAAAAACTTTCATTATGCAATAATACTTTAGCATTTATGATGACGATATATTTAATTTTGATTGTAGACAAACAAAATTTGAAAACACAATACTGTTAAACAACTATATTACATTCTAAAGTAATTATTGATTTGTTTTGACATTTATAATTAAATATGTAGATATATACATATTTATATTAAAAGCGTGATTATTTCCCCTATTTCGCTTGTCTTAATTAATGTCCCAGGAATTATTATCTATAATAATAGTTTCGCTGTCTCTCTATCTATCTATCTGTCTGACAAGAACGCTCTAGAGAAAACACAAGGAATTTAAAAACCTGCACAGTAATTCGAAAAACGAAATATGACGTCGACACATTTAGCGTAGAGTAGAACATAATCTCAAACCAGAGAGTGCACACAGTAATGTAATGACGTCATTGAAACATTGAAAAAAAGGAAATGTTGTCTAATCTAAATGGTTTGCGTGAAGAGTTTCTTGCATACAATTCTTCGGGTAGGGGCGAAGCCCCACCCCCGCGTAAGAACGTCTGAGGGGGGTGGGGGTGGGGGGGGGGGGGGGTTGAGTGGGGGGGTGGTTTTAATTTCGACTTTTTCCTCCCCGGAGAGGGGTGGGGGGTACTTGAAATTTTCGGGGCGGGGGTAGAATTTTCGGGGAGGGGCGGACACTGGAAAAAGTATATAATTATATTTCGTTGAATGGGACGGTAGACATGTTTTTTTAGGGGGGGGGGGGGGGTTGTGGGTGGGGGGTGGGGGGAGGGGGGGGGGGGTGTGGGGGGGGTGGTTTTAATTTAGACTTTTTCCTCCCCGGAGAGGGGTGGGGGGTACTTGAAATTTTCGGGGGCGGGGGTAGAATTTTAGGGGAGGGGGCGGACACTGGAAAAAGTATATAATTATATTTTGTTGAATGGGACGGTAGACATGCTTTTTTTTTGGGGGGGGGGGGGGGGTGGGGGGGGGGGGGTGGTGTGTGTGTGGGGGGGTGGGGGTGAGTGGGGGGTGGTTTTAATTTAGACTTTTTCCTCCCCGGAGAGGGGTGAGGGTACTTGAAATTTTCGGGGGCGGGTGTAGAATTTTCGGGGAGGGGGCGGACACTGGAAAAAGTATATAATTATATTTCGTTGAATGGGACGGTAGACATGTTTTTTTTTTGGGGGGGGGGTGGGGGTGGGGGGTGGTGTGTGTGTGGGGTGGTGTGTGTAGGGGTGGGGGTGGGGGGGGGGTGGTGTGTGGGGGGGTGGGGTGGGGGGTTGGGGTGGTGGGGGTGGGGGTGGTGTGTGTGGGGGGGGGTGGTTTTTGTTTAGAGAAAAGAGACAGCACTATCAACCTAGCGCCCGGTGTATCCTTCCTCAACGGGCCATTTTTCTCGTGTAAAAATGTTTTTACAAGAATTACAAAACAGATTGTGTTGCGTTGATTGTTTTTGGTTGTAGTGTGTGTATATATATATATATATACATACATACATATATATATACATATACATATACACGTATACATATACATATACACATATACATATATATATATATATATATATATATATATATATATATATATATATATATCTTTTGTTTACATTGATACATTTTTTGTTTTGTCGGCCTACATTGTGTGTTTTTTCTTATTTCTTCAAGTGCTAATAACAATTTATTTTACATCATAGCGAAGTAATGACATTCAGCTAGTAATTTTATATATATATATATATATATATATATATATATATATATATATATATATATTTGGCGCCTTTTTTTGCTCATTTCGCTCCCCCTACAACGAAAACCTGGATACGCCTCTGGGCATGACTGTTCCTACTTTTAGCTGACAGGGGTAGGCATGTCTGATTTTTTAATGAATGGGGTTTTACAATTTTGTTTTAAACACATTAAAAAAGAATTTAAAGTTATTATTTTCTTAATACAAAAATGGACTAAGAATCCAAAAGTGCAAGAAACCCTGTATGATGAACAATCAAGGTTTAAGTGATTTTTTTTTACTGCGCACACCCCCTTAATTTATGTTTCTTATGCAATTGGTACTAGCAGGCTTTTGTGATGAATGTGTTAAAAAAACTTTTAAAATTATTTTTTTTAAAAAGTATTTTTGTCATTTTGAACTACTCATTTTTAATTAAAGTAATTGAATTGAATTTAACATTAATTTAAAAAAAAAATTAATTCAAGTTTTAATTGATCAAAGGGCTGCTTCAATTAACCCTCAGGCAGGGCCTGGTGGCCCACCGTAAGTATTTAACTAATGTTTTTAAAACCAATTTATTATGGTGTTATCTGTTTCTGTGAATGCTTCAAAGTCTTGTACAATGTGGAATGCAATTTTTTAAATACTATCACCAGTGGTTGTTCATTTTATATATTTATCTATAAAATATCTTATTGTCTCTTTTTCTGTGTATAGAGATTTTTCTGTATATAGAGTTGCAATATACATATATACATATTTTTTCACTTTCCTGATTTACATAATTTTTTAAAAACATTTCCGGGTTCTCTGTATAAAAAAAAGACTTTTAATTAAGTTGTTTTGTCTTTCAAAGAATTATTATCAAGATTCCAGTGATCACCCTTTCTCCCTGACAAAATAGCAAAAATATACTTAAATAGGAAAACATTTTCTCATTAATCATGTACAACTTAACAAAGTTTTAATATGGAATGTTTGATGACGTATAATAGCCCTTTAGGCCAAGAATGTAACATTTGTTTTCATATGTCTATAAATAGAAAATAATTGATACTAAAAAAATAACGTGAAAATGTTTGATCCAATCTTCCAATCTTACACCAACTGTTGTAGAACTTTAAGCTGTTTTCATGCATTGAGAATGGAAAGGTTATATAAAACCATCTAATTCCCATTTGTTTCTTAATGAGAAGTCATTATTTTTATTTAAAATAACTTTTTTTCAATGATTTTATATTTAGTAAGCTTGAGGAAATTTTACTCTTTACTGGTCTCTTTTTCACATACTTTCCTCACTTTCTCCTGTCGTAGATTTTTTTCTTCTGCTCTTTCTTGAACGTTACATTAATGATTTAAGCAAGTGTCAATAAATAGTTCTGATGCTGGACCTTAAAGAGGTGTTTCAACAAACTGAGAAACCACCTGATCTGGTTCCTCAATCTCAAGTTTTGCTTGGATTGACAAACATTTCAATCTATATCTAAAAAAAATCTAGTATGTTGAGATACTACTATACCAATGTTTAAATGTCACAAAAATCTCTAGCCTATTGTAATCATACATAGTGATTACCAACCTTTGGGTATATTATGGGTGTAATCCACATATTTTTGTAGAAAGAAAAAAAAATAATTATTCATAAGCATTGTTCCCTGAATGTGTCTATCATTGTATTATTAGAACACCATCACATACACATCACACTGGCATGCATAATGTTTGTCAATTTTTTTATCACCCACTTATCAGAATTTTTCAAAGACAGTAAATAGCTGTAGAATTTATATAATTACTTGCGTGCCTTTCCTTGTGTGTTGCGGGGTTAGAATAATGTCTGACAAAACATTTTAAGAGGGTTTCATCAATGCGTTACAAATCCAATATTTTTGGACGTATTATCTTAGTCTCTAAAACTTAGTTATTTAACCCTTTGAGCCCGACAAGCCAGAAAATCGGCTTTAAAATTAGACAAAAGTGCGGGATTATGATTCTAAAAATAGATTTTGGGGAAAGGTGCAAGTGTTTGCATTTTGTAAAGTACATTGTCAACACAAAAAAATCTGTTATCTTATATTTTATTATTCGGTTATAATTATTATTATTATAACAGTAAATAGGTAAGTTACTCTGGTTTTGTCATTATGTTTAGTAAGTATATAAAACAATTATCGGTATATAAATATTTTATAAGTTCAAACTTTTGTTTTAGAAATTATTTTTAAATTTTTTTTTTAAGCAATGCTGCCGAATCGAAAAACTGAGCAACAGCCATCAACAGTGTTTGTTTTATATACATTGTTATGTTCATACATTGTAAAAAAAATAAAGAAATAAAGCCTGGATACCAAAATATCTCAAACGGTTAAAAAGTTGTAGGCTTTTGAAGAAATCAAAGATGGCAGCCATCCGTTATCTTGGATTTGTAAAAAAAACAAGAATTTACGAATCTTGCTGAATTTTTGTTTGATGCTGAGCCTTGATCTCAAATGTGGCTTGATTATCGCAAACATATCAAAAGTTATAGGCAAAGTTAGAAGCAGATAAGTGAAAATTGGTTTGGGCCTGGGAGAAATCAGGCCAGGGGGGCCCGGGCTCAAAGGGTTAAATGTAAACAATGCCTGTGCTATATATCTTGGATCATATTTGCCGGGGCACAGGTTTACCTACACTACCTTGAGTGTATGTTAATCACTCTCCATAATAGTGAGGTAGAATACTTCAGCGACCATCCAGATGTCAGGGACATAGAGGGGCCCTCTTGGCAGCCAAGGTTACGTTACCATGGTGGTGACTCAAACAGTCCCTAGCTGGGTTTCATCATCAAATGTCATGTGCCACCGTGACAATATTAATTTAAGCCCGTAATTATTTTCACGTTTTACCGAAAAAAAAATTTCACTCATTTTTTTCAGTACCCCTGCAGCTAAACGAAAAGTGTCTTTTTACACACATTATTTATTTAAAAAATTTATCGTAATTGAATGGCCCTTCACACTGTTATACATTTTAAGTAATTATTTATTTATTGTAGAAAGATGATTACTTAGTATTAAAAAAGAAAAAAATAAAGAGTTGATTTTTTCCGGCAAAAAATTTGCTTCTGTTGGGAAAATTAATGATAAGAATTTTTTCTCATGAGTTCTAATTAATAGGAAACGAAAGTATGTCCATTTTTCTACAAAAATCATGGATCAGATTAGTCTTAGTATAAATACTTTAATTTTGGTTAATTTTATTACGTGGCGACCTAAATGCTCGGATGCAGCCGCTGAGCAGCATTTTGCAATGTTAAAAAAATGCAGTTTTGCTAGTGGTTTTACAATAAAAAAATTCTATAAAATACAAAATCAACATAACAAGAAAACTACAAGAAATAAATTCGATGAAAAATGGCTGCTCTAGCGTTATCATGACCTAGATTTATGATTAAAAACTTGTATTCTTAAAAACTACTGATTAAATAGAGAAAATTTTATCAGACGCTGGGAGCTTCGTTACGGTCTTAAAGAGTTAATAAACAGCTATAATACTACATCTTATCCATAATCTATCGCACTGTTTAAAATGAACTTAGGAGCCATAGTGGTCACTGGATAACGCAGGCACCTAACTGCATCCTACTGGAGAGCCACCCATGCGATATTGAAATTTTTTCTTCTTGTCACAAACCTACCCATGACAATTCTCAACAACCCCTTACCCGCTTTTCAGGACGCCCAATTAATTGATGCCAAGTGCCAACATAACCGCTCAGGCGCCAAACCGTGTATTGATGAAAATCGCACCCTTCCTGTTGCTGTCTGTAGGAAATTTTAAAAAATTTTCCCACAGAAATCTTCTCTGTAAGGTGTCAAACCGCATCCAACTTCTATTTATTATGTACCTTATATAGAGAAAAATCACCCCTCCTGGGGCATCGCCCTTGCGAAATTAAAAAAGATTTTTTTGCAGAAACCTTCCCCAGAGTGGTCTTATCAACTCCCCAAAGTTTCATGGCAATCGAATGAAGAATCGAATCGCGCCCTACTGGGCACCACCCGCGCGATTTTTTTTTTTCCCAGATACCTCCCTTGGAGTATTCTCAACAACTTTCGCAAAGTTTCAGGCCATCGGATGAAAGGTGTAATTATGCATAAAAGACAAACAAACAGACACACACTTATACATTGCTTTATATATATATATATAGATAGATAGATTGGGCCTAGAACAATACCCCCGTCTATTCGCCCCTCCCCCAAGCTCAAGTACTGGCCCTTAACCTAACCCCAAACTCCAACCCGATAATTAAAGCTAACCCTAACCCCAACTCTAGACATTAACCCTAATTTTAATGCAAAAGCCTAAACCTAAGTATTCACACCATCCATAGACAAATCTAAACCTAACCTAATCCCAACAGTAACACTTGCCCTAACTCTAACCTAAAACCTAACCCTAACTGTACCTTAAGCTAAGACCTGCGTGTAATGTCCTAATTTATAAGGGGGTAATTATTCTGGGGGAAATGTCCTGCTCCCATAATTATCAGACACTTTGCTCACAACATGAAGATGATTGCATTTTATAATGTGTTGTTGAAGTATGCCATTAATCCAGGAACAAGAGCAAAACAATTTTCTAAGTTTTGGTAAATCTTAAATAGAAATGTTTCTTCTAGGTAGTATGCTATATAGGCCTACTAATGTTTTAAAGCTAACATTGAACTCACCATGACCCCCACTATGTCTTGTTAATTGAAGGAAAAATGCAACTTTTTAAAATTACAATCTTCAGCTATTTGAAAAGCTTTAAAAAAAATGTTGGCTTGGCTATCAAAATGATTAATTTTGGTTCAAATGTTTTCCAAGTATTCCAAAATACTTTTAAAAATAAACATCAGACCCCATTTTAATTGCAGCTAATCTGAACTTCATTTTCCATCCCATTTACTAAAATTTTCAGCTTAATGTTAAAATAAAAGTTCATTTCCACTTTGGTTTTATTATACAATATATTTTTTAAAAAGTAAACATTAAATTGCAATTAGACAGGTCTTCATAATTCATTGTTATTTTATAGTAACAAACTTCTTTTATTTAAAATATTAGCTATATTAAACATTAAATTAGTGGAACATACTGAGCACTTGTCTAAAAAAAAATCCTTTTTTCTCAATATCTTGTCATATCTCTGATACTACCTTTGCCTAAACATGAATTGTTTTTACAAAAGATTTGCAATTAGTGACAAACAAGAAAAAAGTAATGCTTTGTCTCAACTGGGAAGTACCCCTTTTAAATGTTGTGGTCATTTTGTGTGTAAAATCTTAAGCTGTATTAATTTTTTTGGTGTCATAATTTTGTTGGTTCACCTTGTAGAAAAACTGTTCAACATGATTGGATGTATATATATATATATATGTGTATATATATATATATATATATATATACGTGTATATATATATATATGCTTGTATATATATATATATGCTTGTATATATATATATGCTTGTATATATATATATATATATATATGCGTATATATATATGCGTATATATATGCATATATATATATTTATACATATATGCGTATATATATATATATATATATATATATACGTGTATATATATATATGCTTGTGTATATATATATATATATATATATATGCGTGTATATATATATGTATATATATATGCGTATATATATGCGTATATATATATATGCGTATATATATGCCTATATGTATGCGTATATATATGTATGCGTATATATATGTATGCCTATATATATGCGTATATATATATATATGCGTATATATATGCGTATATATATATGCGTATATATATATATATGCGTATATATATGCGTATATATATATGCGTATATATATATATATGCATATATATATATATATATTTATACATATATGCGTATATATATATATGCATATATATATATATATGCATATATATGCATATATATATATATATATATATATATGTATATATATATATATATATATATAGTTGTATATATATATATATACGTGTATATATATATATATATATATATATATATATATATATGCGTGTATATATATGTATATATATATATGCGTATATATATATGTATATATATATGCGTATATATATGTATGCGTATATATATATATGCCTATATATATGCGTATATATATATATGCGTATATATATATATATATGCGTATATATATGCGTATATATATATATGCATATATATATATATATTTATACATATATGCGTATATATATATATGCATATATATATATATATGCATATATATATATATATATATATATATATATATATATATATATATATATATATAAGCGTGTATATATATATATATATATATATATATATGCGTGTATATATATATATATATATATATATATATATATATATATATATATATATATATATATATATGCGTGTGTATATATATAGGCATATATATATATATGCGTATATATATATATAGGCATATATATATGCATATATATATACGCATATATATGTATGTGTATATATATATATATGCCTATATATATATGCGTATATATATATGCATATATATATGCAGGCATATATATATGCATATATATATATAGGCATATATATATGCATATATATATATACGCATATATATATATACGCATATATATGTATGCGTATATATATATATATGCCTATATATATGCGTATATATATGCGTATATATATATATATGCATATACATGCGTGCGTATATATATGCGTATATATATATATATGCATATACATGCGTGTATATATATATATGCGTATATATATATGCGTATATATATGCGTATATATATATATGCGTATATATATATGTATGCATATATATATGCATAAATAGTCCATTTATTTTTGACATTTATAAACATGATTGCCTGCAGTCGCATACAATAATTTTCAAATATTTATTTCAAGATAAAAAAAAATTTAAAAATTTCTTAGTAAATTTGTGGCTAGTGACGAATACTATACTCTTTTGCAAATTTGACGTTTTTTAGTGAACTGATTGTACTTGCTATTTATTTTATAACTAGTTTTCTAAAGTGTCCCTTATATTTGAAATGTAGTGTTTTTTGCACGCCGTTATCCAAATGCAGACAAGTCTCCCATCTTGCCATTAGCAGACTTGTTCAGCTAAATCAGAAAAAATATCTTATTGCTTTTTTCACATGTGTAAATGTTTCCTGATCTAATTTAAATATGATAATCAAAATTTTTAATTAAAAAAAAAACTAAAAAGGAAGCTTCTGAGAAAATGGCATTTAAGACAACTTAAAAATTAAAAACACGAACACAGTACTTTGTAAAGAAGTATTCTAAAAAAAATTTATTTATAAAATATTGAAGGAATAGTAAAATAAACATTCTGTTTGCTGGATGTATTTACACACGACATGAATTTTATTATCACAGTTTACAATTTCTGTATGTTTTGCAGTATCATATTCATAAAACTAATACATTCAACTTAACAAAGTATACTCAAAATCTACCACTATTGCCTGGGCTAGGGTACATAGACTTGTTTAACATATTTTTGTCAACTCTTGTGCAGTAAAATTTCTTTTTTTGTTATCTTAATGTATAGCAATTCATCTTTTATTACATCATCTATACCTTTTTATAATCTTGGTCACTTACCATAATGATTCAAATAATACTATCTAAAAATGTACTTTTCATATCCCAATTTACAATTTGATTGATCATATCCATATGTAATAGGCAATCATTTTAGTAGCAGGTTAAAGAACAAAATGTGTTAAATAGCTAAATCTACTCACAAATTATTTGACATGTAGTTAAAAATATTTTTGTCTTATGACTATTAAAGGAGGATTTATTGCCACTGAAGCTGGAGAAGTTTGTATTTAGCATGATATTACATTCATGGTGTAGAATTGTTTTAGAGCTGTTTACTACAAATTTTGTTCATCCAGGTCAGCGGGACCAGGTGGCCCAGGCATGCAGCCTCCTCGAGAGCAAAGTAAAAGATTGCAACAGACACAGGCACAAGTAGATGAGGTCAGTCAAGTGTGTGTAAAAAGGCTAGGTGGATCAACAGAAAATTTAAAAAATCATCAAGTCTTTGAATTTCATATCTTATATTTTTATACATTTTTAATGTGTGGATTGTGTGGTTGGTTAAGTACTGAGTTTGGTATCTAGGCTAGAATCTGATGGGTAGCTTTTTCTAGTTAGAAATCCTTTTTTATGCTGCGATGATGAAATATAAAGTCTACTGTGAACCCACATGCCAACCAGGAATGGTACTGTAATAGGCCTATTAGGGCTTTGATTGTAAAAAAAAATTAGTCTTGCTGGTTCTTGTGGTGCAGTATTCCCGCTTTAATCCTTGATTTTTTTTCTCTCAGTTGTAAAACTCATTTGCACCAGTGTGGACATCATTAATAAATGACCTGGCCAGCTGTGTTTTACTAATCAAATGGGCAGTCAGTTATGTGTTGAAAAAGACACAATGCCTTTCAGAGCCTGTGATGTTATTCTAATATATTAACTCAGTCTCCAACCTAGACACATTTTTTATACAATACTGGCATGTTTGAAATCGTTTAAGTAATTTGAATGAATAATTTTTTAATATTAATAGGCACTAAACACATTTTCTGTGTATTACAGGTGGTAGATATAATGCGAGTGAATGTAGAGAAAGTTCTGGATAGAGACCAGAAAATTTCACAACTTGATGATAGAGCAGGTAATAAAATCAGCCCTCTTTGTTGTAAAATAGTTTAGTGTAGCACTTTGTAAAAAAATGTTTTTTACATCTAGCACTGGCATATCCATTTTTGTGCTCCAATACAAATCAGTAGTTAAGACTTTTCAGCTGTTACTGTTTCACAGCTTGTGCATGTTTCTCTGATTTTGTTTTATATGCAGTTTTGAAGCTTCCTATAATTAAAACAACTACCAATCTGATATTTTATGAGAAAACCAGTTGATATTTGTAAAACAACCTACTTAGTTTGTCAGGAAAATGCACTCCAAAATCTATTTCTGGTAGATCTCATTTGATATGGCAACATCTGTGGTGCTCAAAAGATGTATGTACAGGGATTGTTTACTTTTTCTTAAGTCTGCTATTTTGTTTACTTATTATAAGCAACTCGAGACTCATGGCAACAATATAGTGATTATTTTTCACAAATCACATCAATCTATTCTATCTAATATTCTGCGACACTGTTTTCTAATCAGGTACTCGTTACTGATCTGAGACTTTATCTCAACTGTTGAGCTATCTAACTGCTGACTATAACCTCAATATTCGACTGACTCAGATTCTTGACTACCGATGCTCTCTAATTTAAACTTTCTATGACTTGCTTCTCTTATTGGTCTGACTACATCTTTTGATTTGTTCCTACCTACTAACCTATAAATAAAGCAAATAGCACGGCTCCCACAGAGTCTGGAAACCTGAATAAAACAGGAATTTTAAATAAAATTTCCTGGACTGGAAAAGCGGGAAATCTTCGTAATAGCTGGGAATTTGTTTTTCTTTCCTCAAATATCGCGAGTTTTAGACTATGCATAAATCTAGCCTAATCTCACCTATTCTATTGGTCTAGTTTTAAGGCGCCCAAAACTAGTCTCAAGTTTCTTGTGAACCTTTTTCCAGTTAAGATATCCACTATTCTAGCTCTGGGGGCTTAGGGTTAATTAACATAATGAGTACAATATAATGCACCAACTTATGATGTTTTACAATACCCTATGAATTTTTGGCAAGGGGAAGATAGGTATCATTTCAATATCAAAATAAACCGGGAGTGATCTCCCCTAAACTTTATCGAATATTCTTATATAACTTGGAATATAGACATGATTTTTAATTACTTAAACTTTTAAAAATAGAATAGAATCTCATAGAAAGTACTTTATAAATTTACATGCGTTTTTTTTGAGAAATCGGAAATAGCGTAAATTAGTACTTCAGGTCAACGGAAATTACTCAAAATTTGACAGAAGGTAGAGATTTAGATCTTTTACTTACATGTGAAATTTCATTTATCTATCCTAAACAGTACTCAAGTTATAGGCTTTTGAAAAATTGAAAGTAGAGAAAGTACCACTTCCGGTTATCGGAAATCGCTCAAAAGTTGATCAGGATCTACGATTTTGATATTTCATCAACCTATCTGTAACGGTACTCAAGTTATCGTGTTTACACACAGACACACACACACAGACAGACATACGGACAAGATTGCAAAATTATGTTTTTCCGTATCAGTGAGGTGTAAAACGTCGAGATTTACAAATCTCGATTTTTTTTGCACGATTACAAGATTTTCTCTATACTTCGTATATACAAGAAAGTAATGATAAATCCCGAAACAAATGAAGAGACAAATAGAAAAAATAGTGCTATGAAGTACTATGCTTATCATTTAATGATTCTAGAAAAATCAAGATAATCACATTTTAAAATGTCGGCAATTGTTTCATCAGTACATTGTCGACATGTATGCTAAAATTGAAAACGTCTTCTGTTTATTCTACTGAATCAAGCCAAACTTTGCCCAGAAGAGTACACCTATCTACATGACGCAATTACCACCGATACCAATCACAATGATATTGGGAAAATGGTCATTTTGCCAGCTACATTTACAGGAAGCCCACTGCACTTGCATGAGTACATGCAGGATGCGATGACCTATGTTAGCGCATAAGGCCGTCCAGACCTATTCATCACCTGCTGATCGTCATGACATCATCGCACGTGTCTTCAAACAAAAATTGAAATCTTTGATTGATTTCATCGTCAAACATCATGTTAATGGGGAAACACGCTGCTGGATGTATTCAATTGAATGGCAGAAAAGGGGCTTGCAACATTAGCATATTTTGATTAGTTGATTATGCCCGACAAAATTGACAAAAATTGACATAATAATTTCAGCAGAGATTCCAGATATCAACCTTGATCCAGGTTTATTCGAATTGGTTTCAAAAAACATGGTCCATGTGGTGCGATCAACAACACTTCTCAGTGCATAAAGGATGGTACTAAACGATATCCAAAAGACTTACACGCCGGGGTATCACCAGAAATGATGACTATCCTACATATCGTCGGCGAGTAACTGAGGATGGTGTCAACGTCATCATTCTAAAATTGCACAACAATGACATTGTTGATGATCGTTGGATTGTGTCGTATTACCCTTTACTCTCAAAGACTTTTAAGGACACATAAATGCAATTCAGTGAAATCTATCAAATATATTTGCAAATATGTGAACAAAGTAAGCGATATGGCCGTTTTTGGAGCGGGAAATCCATCTGCACCAATGGATGAAATGAAACGGTTTCAATTTGAACACTATATTAGTAAATTAGGTATTTGGCGGATTTTCTCATTTCCAAGTCATGAACGTCATCCACCTGTTGTTCACTTGGCAGTTCATCTTCAAGATGGACAGTGTGTGTGTTTTACAATGGAAAAATGTTCATACAAAAGCATTGTCGCCACCGCAAACAACTTTAACTGCAGTCTTTTCGTTGAGAAATGAAGGTATGTTCGATCAGAAATATAATTGCCTTGGCAATTGCATAATCTGGAATTACAACAACACTTTTGGATGTTGATCGAACAGCTCATTCAGCACTAAAATTACCGTTCCATTGAGGCGCCTACATGAAATATTTTAAACATTCTGGAATGGGCGCACAAAAAAAGCATTGGAAGTGCTTGACCACACACTTCAAGATTTGAGGAAAAATGGACAGCCCTTTGGCGGAGCACTAATTTTAGACAAACTATGACAGCTATACCACACTCAACATCCGCAAATGAGCTTAATGCACAGCTCATATCATCTGTTCTATGGCAAAATGTATAGAAATTAACCTTGAAAACCAACATGCATGTTCAACTTCAATATGATGCATCTGCCAAACGTTTCGCAAAGCAATTTCTAGATATTGGGAATAGGAAGATGACAGGTGACAGATTGTCACAATATATCACATTGCCAGAAAATTTTTGCAACATGACATCAAGTCAAGACGAATTTATTGAAAATGTTTTCACAAATATCTCACAGAAGTTTGAAGACTATCAGTGGTTTAGTGAACGAGGTATATAAGCTGCTACAAACAGCGATGTCAACGCCATCAATTTCACCATTCAATAACACTGTGATAAATCAAGAAGTTGTCAGTTATCCGACAGAATTCTTAAATTCATTGGATTTGCCAGGTATGCCATCGCATATATTAATTCTGAAACTTGGTGTGCCTATCATTCTCCTTAGAAATATAAATCCACCACGACTGTGCACCGGTACAAGACTTGCAGTAAAATAAATAATGCACAATGATGACTGGAAAATTCAAGGGTGAACATGTGTTGTTGCCACGAATTCCAATAATACCAACAGGCATGCTGTTGGATAACAATGGATAACATGGGGCATTACATTCGCTTAATTAATATGTGAAGTGATTCGAGTAAATGTTAATCATATTTCCATATTACAATGATAAATATGTTATAGTAAAAATGTACATTCTCATGGGGAAACTAGAGGATCTGGAGTTTGTAGATGATCTTGCCTTACTCTTGCACAGGCTACAAAACATGCAAGAAAAAGTTGATGCATTCGGAGCCATCTCTCAGCGCGTAGGTCTCAAGATCAACAAAGAAAAGACAGAAGTGATGAGAATTATCAATAACCAGGAGGCCCCAGTGACAATAGACGGAAGACAGGTAAATGATGTGGAAGAGTTTGTCTACCTTGGCAGCAAGATCAGCAAATCGGGAGGCACAGAGGAGGACATGCGTGCTAAAATTAATTGAGCCTGCTGCGCTTTCACAGTTCTGCGACCCATATGGAAAAGTTCTGCCATCTCCATTACCACATATAAAACTCAAATGTCAAGGCAGTTCTGCTGTACGGAAAAGAATTATGGAGAAAAGCAAGGCTGGATCCTATGGCTGTGCCAATAAGGAGGCTCAGGAAGTGGCGCTGGGTGGGACACACGCTACGAAAGGCTCACCCAAATATTACACACCAACCACTTGAGTGGAACCCCCAGGGAAAGCAGAAGAGAGGGCGCCCAAGACAGACCTGGATGCAGAGTCTTCTTGAAGAACTGAAGCCAACAGGCATGTCTTGGGAGACAGCAAAATTAATAGATGCTAATTGCATCATTCGCAAAGTGACGAAACTGTTTGGATTTTTTTATGGACATCCCAGAAACATCCCAGTTAATAATTTTTCTGATTTTTAAATAAAGTGTATTACAGGGCCACCAGCGGCCTATGAGAGCCTTTGTGGGCTGAAACTGAAATTTTTGTTCATAGCCAAATGGCACCGGCGGACACTCCTGATTCAATTCAGTGGGCGACTGTAACGGCCCATCTTATATATTGTCAAAATCCCCCCCCCCCCCCCCCCCCCAGAAACCTTCTCGGGAGTATTCAGTGTCGAACCGCATCCAACTTTCATTTTTTTTTAAATATATAATATATAGAGAAAAATCTCACCCTCCTGGGGTGCCACCCTTGCGAAATTACAAAAAATTTTTTTCCAGAGACCTCACCTGGAATGTTTTAATCTCCTCAAAGTTTGATGGCGATCAGATGAACGGTGTCAAAGCGCAATAGACTTTTAATTTTATATACCGTATATAGAGAAAAATCTACCCTCCCGGGGCCCCGCCCTTGTAAAATTAAAAAGGATCTTTTTTAAATAACAGTGTCAAACCGCAAAGGACTTTTTTAATATATACTGTATAAAGAGGAAAAAATCCCCCCCTGCCGGGGCACCACCCCCTGTGAATTTGAAATTTTTTTCCCGCAGATATTTCTCCCAGGAATATTATCAACAACTTCCCAAAGTTTCACGGCGATGTGATTAGAGGTGTGGTAATGCATTAAAGACACACACAGACATACATTGCTTTTATATATGGATAGATATATAATTGTCTTCATGGGGACCATGTGAGACACCATAAATGGGAGGATAGCGTCAAATTAACTAACTATTAAGAACTGAAAAGTAGAAAATAAAACAACTAAATAGCTGGGTATATTACGCCATGGGTCAGCTTGTGTCATAACTTTCATAATGTGTTTCTTTAATTTTTAGTAAACTTAAAGACCGCAGCAACATTTGAGATGGGCACGCTAGTATATATATCTATATATAAAGAGAAATGTGTGTGTTTGTTTGTCTCTTTTATACATTAATACACCTTTCATCCTATGAAACTTTGGGAAGTTGTTGAGAATACTCCTTGGGAGGTTTCTGCGTTAAAAAAAAAGTCGCTGTGGTGGCGCCCCGCCAGGGTGCGATTTGTTTTTCTATATATATGGTATTTTTAAATAAAAGTCGATCATGATTTGACACCGTTCATCCAATCACCATTAAAGTTTGGGAAGTTGATTAGAACACTTCAGGCAAGGTTTCTGTAAAAAAATCATTTTTAAATTTCGCAAGGGCGGCGCCCCTGGAGGGGGCAAATTTTCTCTATATACAGATTATAATAAAAAAAAATTTGGATATGGTTAGGCACCGTTCATCTGAGTGCCATGCAACTTTAAGAAGTTTAAGAGGTTTCTATGAAATTTTTATATGGGCGCCACCCGCGGGGGTGCGCTTTTTGTCAATACACAATTTGGCACCCAGAGTTCCAGAACAGCTATGTTAGCACTTTGCATCCGTCATTCATGCATCCTGTATAGCCAGTAAGGGTTCTACTATATTCAGCATTAAAACTTCAACTGGCGCCCCATAGATTGCATGACCCAAAGCACCTACAAGCACTATGGCGCCTAAGTTCTTTTTAAAAAAAAGGCTATACACTAAATCATGCGCAGTATCAAACCAGGCGTGTGCCATGGCGCCCCTGCAGGGTTCAATTTGGTGCCCTGGGCTTTCCCGTGAGCACAATGGTGCCTGCGCTTGTTCTAAACTGTGCGATAAACAATGAATTGAATCATGCATGTCCTCCAGGGGCCCTGGTAGGGTGCGATTCGGCTGCTAACAAAAATTTACACCCCCAAAGGCTCACATAGGCCGCTGAGGGCCCTGCAATAATATTTTTTTGGATATTCAGATAAATTAACCAAGGTTAGATAAACTGAGTTGTTTCATTTTGTCCATAAAAATATTCCAAAGCCTACAGTTCTCAAAATAATGAAAATATTTCGGTATAAAGTTGAAGTGTCGGAGGGCAGCTCAAATCTAAAATATAAATGTCACACTTTTTAAAAATAACTTGTAACGTGAGGAAATACTTCTGTACAATTTAGTCACTTTGCAAATGATGCAATTAGCATCTATTTTTAAACTATCCAATCAGAAATTGAGATCGAGCATTTAATAATACACCATTATTAAAGCAAAATTTACCTATTGCATCAGTCACGCTGATGTTTATATCATGTCAAATAATTATTTTTTCTACGTGGTAAAGAAAGAATCCTGTTAATTTGTCACTTTATCGAATGGTGCAATCTGCATCATTGTTTCAGCATGTTATTTGGGGCTCTGGGTTCTCCTGTGAGCACCAGGGTGCTTATGTTAGTTTTAAAAAGCCCATTGGTAGTGTAACTGGGGGCTCTCAAAAGCGCCCCTCAACGTCCCTGACACCTGGGCAGTCACCGAATGGTGTTCTCCCTCACTATTACCGTGAGTGAATAACGTACACTCAAGGATTTCGTGCTGTAGGTAAACCAGTGCCCCGATAAATATTATCCAAGTGCAGACATTGTTTACAATTAAAATTAAATCTCAGTTTTAGAAAAAAGGTCACATGTATAAAAATACACAATTGGTAACACATTGATGAAACGCTTCTTATATATTTTGTCAGACTTTTTTCAGACGGCGTGGGATGGCACACTAGTGTAATTATAAATGTCATTGAACTTGTTGCAACAAGTGATAATATAGATTGTAAAATTTAAAGAACCCTCTTCACCATAGATTTTGTGGGGGAAAAAAAACTAAAAACCTATAAAAGCCCTGCGACACTCTGTACATCTATGCAGTTCACAAGGGGTATTCTACTTCACCCTAGTTGAAGGGGATAATTGTACACTGATGGTGTGGGAAGAAAGTTATCTCACAAATTTAGAAATACATCATTGGAATCGATTGAATGATATACCAAGTGTCCTTTTCTTCAGATATGGCAGCTACATGAGCAACTGGTACACTAGTAGATTATGAAAGGTCATTATTTGGTGAAATATTTTGTTTTTATCCTGAGAAGTGAATAATAAAAAAAATTATGAAATCCAATACCAATATTTATAGAAACATTAATGTTTACCAAAAGTACACTGATCACTTATTTTTACTTTCTCAGAAGCACTTCAAGCTGGAGCATCTCAGTTTGAAGCAAGTGCTGGAAAGTTGAAAAGAAAATATTGGTGGAAAAATTGCAAGGTAAGAAAAATTATCTATTACTTTTACTTCCAACACTCGTATTTAGCCAAGATTCTGGTTTTACTTCTAAAAATAAAAAAAATAAGAAGGAACATATATTTATTAAAAATAACTATAAGTTTCCCTTTTGAACCTGTCCATTGCACCTCTACTTTCCCTATTGTTTGTCAAGTGCCCATCAGAAATGGGTGGACTCAAAAGACATCCTACAGATCCGAACTTTCTGGTCGGCAGTCTTTTGCTCTACTATCCGACTATGCCTTCATTGAAAGTAGTGTTTATCTATAAACCGTATAATTTATTTAAACTTGTTTTATAAAACCACCTACAGATGATGTTAATCTTGGGAGCCATCATCGGCATTATTGTCATTATAATCATTGGTGAGTGGAGGTGCATAGCTCCTGTCGCCTTCATTTTATCACATTTTTGTCTGCAATGTTGTGGTTTATATTTTTGTAGTGGCCTTTTTATGTGTTTCTTCAAATACTAGTTTAGCTTTGTTGTTGTTTATCCTGTTTTAGTAAGAAATGATTAAAATAATTATAGAAATTCAATAAATATTTCATTTAATATATTAAATAAATAAATAAATATTTCACTTAACAAAATTTCAACTCTTAACAGATTATTAGAGATTAGTATTGATCTGTTGCTGTAATTTAAAATGACACATTCATATTCTCTTTATTGCAAGTTTCAATTTTATCTTACAACTAGCATGTTAGAAGGAAGTCTGACGAAATTTATTACGTTTTCATCAATGCATTACCAATTAAAACAATGCCTGTGCTTGGATCATATTGTCTGGGCACAGGTTTACCTACACTACCGCCCAGCACCCCCCCCCCTCCCCATGGCTCTATGAAAGCCTTGAGTGTATGTTAATCACTCACTGCAATAGTTAGGTAGAACACACCAGGTGAATGCCCCGGGAGTCCATTACATTACCGCAGGGTGCGCTAGGTTTAATCAATGAATGTTGTGCGTCACTGTGTCAGTATTGTAGGGTGCTCCTTAAAACTGAACATAGGCACCACAATTCTCAATTAATAGCCCAGGGCGTCAAATTGCACCAGGCGGACCGGCCTGATTTAATCTACTTATGACTATAATACCCCAATCTTATCCATAGTCTATCGCACTGTTTTAAAATAAAGTAGGCACTATAGCGCTCAACTGATAGCCCTGTGCACAGAATCACACCCTAACTGGGCGTTGGTGGACTTCCTGATTCAGTTTATTGAACGACTATGATGCCCAATCTTATCCATAGTCTATTGTACTGTTTAAAATGAACATAGGTATCATAGCGCTAATGGGGCGCCGCCTGAGCGAAATTGAAATATTTTTTTTTACGCAGGAACCTTCCCAAAGTTTTCAACGCACACACACACATTAATTTTTATATATATAGATGAATTGACTTTTCAATGTTCTAATTTATAATTAAAAAAGCATGCACATGTATTAACATCAAATTTTTTTAAGGAAATAACGTTAAAAAATCCATGTGTTTGGAGCCCCTATTGTATTAATAATAATGGAAACTAAAAACATCAGCCAATTTGAATTTTTTGTCAATGGCCATTACCCAGAATAGTCTCCAGGTGCCCTTTAAATATTTTTGGGAGCCACCTGTTACATTATTGCAATTTAGGCATTGATTGTAGTAGCCCACCTCAACTCAAGTGAAAGGTGCTTTTCAAAACTAACGTAGACGCAGGTTTCTAGGGGTTACATGTCCTGGAGCAGATTTACCATTGATTCAAGTAACACCCCATGTGCACACAACAGGTGATGCGACGCCAATCTGATATTTAAAATATTTTTTAATGGCAGAAACCACCAAGTTTCATGGCAATGGAATGAATGGTATACGAATGCATAATAGACACACACGCATCCATTCAATTATATATATAATTGTACTAGCGTACCCGTCATTGGTTTCTGTGATCTCAAGAGAAAGGAAATTCAATGACAGTCATCATGACAACATTCAATTTACAGTTCTCATGTTTAAATTTTACTTTCTCGTATAGAGGAAGCAATGTATTCATACAAAAAATTGAAATAGAGATTTACAAAAATCTTGACGTCGGTATAACATAGTTTTGAAATTTTGTCTGTACGTCTTTGCGTGTGTATGTATATGTGTATGTCAGTGAACATGATAACTTGAGTACCATTACAGCTAGGTTGATGAAATTTCATATAAAAGTATTATATCAAATTTGTAGTTCTGTATCAACTTTTCAGCTTGTTTCAAGTAACCGGAAGTGGAACTTATTCTACGTTTGGTTTTTCAAAAGCCATATAACTTGTACAGTTTCAGATATATAAACGAAATTTCACATTTATAAGTAAAAGATCTAATTCTCTGTCTTCTATCAAATTTTGAATAATTTCCATTGATCGGAAGTAGTACTTTACGTTATTTCCGATTTCTCAAAAAAAAAACAAACACATGAATTTATAAACTACTAATATTCCACACTATTATACACACATTGTTTGCTATTTTGTTCAGCACACACAGTGACGCAAGATTTTTAGGATTTCATCAACACAATACTAATTATTATGCTTGACCTTGTTTTTCTAACACAGAGTCATGTAAATATAAACAAAGCCTGGGCTTTATTTCTTGGATCAGAGGTGTTGGGTGCATAAGTCCATACTACCACCCAAGCGCCCCAGGGCATGCTGTATAAAAAAGTTGAGCTTGCGTTAATCACCTTCCATAATAGTGAGGTAGAACACAATTCAGTGACTGCCCAGGTGTCAGGGGCATTGTTGGCAGTTAATAGCTGTACTACTACAGGGGCACTGAGTGCGTCTCCGGTTTAGTTTAGCCAAATGTCGTGTGCCACAGTGTCCCTATTGCAGGGTGCTCTTTAAACAAATGTAGGCGACAAAGTGCTTACGGATAGCTCGAGATGCTTTAGGTCACGCACCTATCTAATGAATAATTATAGTAGCCAGTTGTCCTTAATGTATTTCACTCTTGAAAATGAAGTAGGAGCCAGAGTTCTCAGTGGAAGCATGGGGATTTCCTTGTCACCTCATCAATTGTGTATTGATGAAAATAGCGCCCTCCTGGGCGCCGCTCATGTCAAATTTTAATTATTTTGTTAACAGAAACCTTCCCGGGAGTATTCTCTGTCTCATCAACTCTTTAAAGTTTTATAGCACTCAGATGAAAGGTGTCGAACCGCATATGACTTTCGCCCTTGCAAAATTAAAAAATATTTTTGCAGAACCCTTCCAGGTAGTGTTCTAATCAGCTCTCCAAAGTCTCATGGCTTTCGGATGAACGGTGATAAACTAAAATTGACTTTTATTTTTATATACCGTACATACAGAACAATCGCACCCTCCCGTGGCGCCGCCCTTGCGAAATTAAAAATGATTTTTTTACAGAGCCCATCTCTAGAGTGTTCTATTCAACTCATCAAAGTTTGCTGGCGATTGCATGAACGGTGTGAAACGGCAATCGACTTATATTTTTATATACTACGTATAGAGAAAATAATAATTGCACCCTGCCAGGGCGTCACCCCTACGAATTTGAAAACATTTTTATTGCGCAAAAACCTCCCTAGGAGTATTCTCAACATCTTCCCAAAGTTTCACCGCGATGTGATGAGAGGTGTAGTAATGCATAAAGGACAGACACACATACATTGCTTTTTATATATATAGATAGATAGATAGATAGATATATATATTTCACACCAAATTTTTGTTGAATATTTTTATGTTTAGCATGTTTTTTTTTTGTTTTTTTTTTTGCTCAATAAATTTCATCTTTGCAGATGTGGCTTATTCTTATTGGTGTAGTTGTTGTCATTATTATCATTATTGTTGGTAAGTGTAGTTTTTTTTTATTTTATTTTTTTTTCTCCTTTGCTTCATAAAAATTTAAAATGTTATTGTACTCACTTTATAAAAAAAAGTTTGTTATTTTATTGGGATAGAAATTAAAATGGGTTCTACTTCTACAGAACAAATTTAAAAAAAACTTTTTAATGCACAGAAAATAAGAAAATAAACTAATTTGCTTTCTTTAACTTTAATGGTTCTAAAGAAAGCATTTTCTCATTTTTAGTGCATTTAATTTATAAGTTATAATTTAAATGGTTTTTGTATTTGTTTTATTTCCCACAAAAATTATTTTGTAGTGAATTCTAAAAACAGATTGTTTAAAATCTCCTTCAAAAGCACACTTTCTACCTGGAAAAACCTGAAAATGATATCTCTGATTTTGCATCCTTTTTCCAGCAGTGGAAAAATTTGGTATTTTTGTTTAGATATTAAATAATATTTTTCAGAATGACTTTCGAATGAGAAAGAGATCTTTCCAAAATTTACTTCATTGGCTTATTAAACTGTTGTTCAAATATTTCACAATTTTCTGAAGGAATTTGATTTAGAATTTTGTTTTAATGTGCTTCCATTAGCAGTGCTAATAAATCATATTTTTTTTTACGTCCCCATAATTCATATTCAATTGATATTTCCAAATACATAATTTTTAATCAGCTCTTTCTTTCCTGTCTGTGTTCGTGACATATGGTATCCGAATGTTAAATTAGTGTTAAATTTAGGTATATGGAAGTGGCCTTTTTGTTTTTTGCATCTTGCTTTAGGACTAATAAAATGGTCATGGTACAATTGTTTATACTTCAACTAGAGGTATAAATGTAAAGTGCATTACTTAAAAGATTTATTGCTTTGTTGCAGGAGTGCAATAAAGTTACCTTTCAGATATTTTCTTTCGTGTTAATAATGCTGATTTCAAAAACTTTAAATTTCTATTAACTGTAACATAAAAGCGTAAGTAAATAAAATTTGAAATGGTGTCTAAAGACATATAAAGTTCAAAAGTAAATTAATCAGGAACTGATTATTTTTTGCAATATTTTAAAATGCAAATGTGATTTTTAAAATATAAAGCATTACTGTAAATAACAATTTCAATTGAAAATATAAGCCCCAGCAAAAAAGTACATAAGTAAAGCAAGATATCAAGACTAGTGACTATTAGTAGTGTTAAGGAAATTTATTAAATATTATTCTCTTCCCCCTCCCCCCTTAACATTGCTTTGAATATGCTTACAGTATGGGTGACACAAGGCTAACCAATTTCCTGTTGCTTCACAGGCTTTTTGTGTAAAGTATGTTTTGATTCTCAGTGGTATTGTTGTCAGTTTTAAGTATTCCACAAAATATTTGTTAAATGATTGCATATGGTTATCTCTGTCTTCAACTGAAACAACTAAAATAATTGAGAAAAGTTACTTAAAAAAAAAATTATATGTCTGTTACCAATATTAATTTGTATAGTAATGTTTCACTTGAGGCTTTCTTCCTCGTTTTCCATTGTGAAAATGAATTACATCCTTACCAGGCTTGCTTTTTACTTTTTAGTTTTAATGTCTGTTATAGATAATTTGGTTTGGATACATTCTTCATTTTTTATCTGTAACTAATATCTATATATATAATTCTCTTCTGGGAGACGCTAGAAAACAAGCTGTAAGTGCGCCTTGCAGTCCCCTCTCTTCTTCACTAGGCATAAATCAACCTCCCCCACCCCCACATGGTCTGGTGAGCTGTGGTTCACACTAAATGTTTACAATCATAGAGCCGGGTTTAGTGAATCATACTAGGGGCAGATAATTTAGTTTGAAACTATTTTAAACTTAGGGGAGGTAATTAAGAGGAGGCTGCTTTCAGGGGGGTAGGGGTTGGGGGAAATGGGGGGGGGGGTTAACGTCCTGATAGTATTTTAAAGCAAATATTTTCAGTGGCAGCATTGGTACTGTCGAATTCACAAAGTATGAATTACTGAAAAGTATGATACGCCGCGGGTTGGCTCGTGTTCTCTAATTGAAGTTAAATTCAATTATTATTTATCTCCAAGAAGAGTTGCTTAGAGAAAAACTAAATTAATTTAAAAGTAATAAAAGTGACATCTTTGTTATTTACCACTTATCACAACATTTATACATTTATAGGCCTACTTAACTGGTCATCCATTTATAACATCCACAAAAGTTTGGAATTCTGACGATTTTTTTATGCATTTTCAAATTGTGGGTCCATAAAAAACACTAGTTTGCCCCAAAATTCCCAAAATTTAGTGTTTTGAACGGACACAAATTTTGAAAATTCATAATAAATTATTTTGAAGGATATATACACTTAAAATTTTTAGCTGAGTACCCCAAAATATGGAAGAAGATTATAAATTCATTATTTATTGGGCATAAAATATAATATTTTATGGATGGTGGAAAACCTATGAGGGGGTTAATTTTTCAAGATGGCTGCCGTTATCATGGTTACCCAGATCATTCCACAATTTTTTTAGTGGAAATGCATATGCGGATGTATTTTAATAAAGCTGTAAAGAAATAACTGTTTTCTAACCAGTATTAAAAAAGTTTTTTTTACCCCCTTAAACGGCCTATCGTAGATAGTAGTCGCGCAGCTTTATTATTTAAAGGACAATGGTGTAGCCATGGTGCCTACAATGCAACAATAAATTATCTAAAAATTAGAGAACATGCAACATTTAAGAAATGTTATTGGCATGTCAGCAACTAACCTAGAAATAAACCTATGTATAATAGGACGGGTCTAATACATTACCCACCTGCTACTACCTCACTCCCATCCCGCAGTACTATCACCCCTTCCCTCTCCACCACAACCCCATGGTAGCCATTTCCCCAGCTAGCTGTCACTTTACGATACTTGACATACTTGACTTGACTTAGTCCTCCTTGCTCCTTATGGAGCATAGGGCCTCCACCATTTCCTTCCATTTCTTCCAATCCTCGGCTATTAATTTTGACATCTCCCAAGACATCCCTGTTGGCTTCAGTTCTTCAAGAAGACTCCGCCTCCAGGTCTGTCTTGGGCGCCCTCTCTTCCGCTTTCCCTGGGGGTTCCACTCAAGCGTTAGGCGTGTAACATTTGTGTGAGCCTTTCACAGTGTGTGACCCACCCAAAATGGTAACTGGAGAAAGGTTTAGCTTTCTGATGTACCTTCTCATCATTTCCACATTAAAAAATTAAAAATGACATTATTCGCTACTTGGTTGGAGAGGAATGTATTGTTACAATGCTTTTTATTTGCGTTTAAAGATATTGGTTTAGAACGTAAACCACTTCTCTTGTTTATATTCTTCAGAAACAGCTTGTATGATTTGAATGAACAGAGTTAAAGATTTGTCTGATGAATGGCCCGATTTCTTTGAAAAATTTGCATCTGCCAAGTTTATTACAAATATCGTCACGGTCATAACACAAACGCCTAAGTCATTTTTTCATGTTTTGAGAAAACTGAAAAAAACTGAATAACTTTGGTATTACTTCTGCTATGTCACTATGGTACATTTTGGTACTATTCGACTTTGTCTAATAAGGAAAAAAAAACTTTGTTAATATAGATACGTAGTAGGCAAAAGATATCCTAAATAAATTACTTCGCAAATGACTTGGCTGATAAAAAAAAAATTATTTTGATTAAGGCAATAGTTTTTCTTGATAATACAAATAATACTAGATAGAGATAACATGTGAATAGCCTTACAGCTTTTATTTTTACATTATTATTAGTATCTAATATATTTTATTAAAAATGTCAACGTTTATTCAAATAAAATGGCATGGTATGTATGAACATCTTTAACGCAAAATAGTCTTCATAGATCAGCAAACATTCTTTTGCTGATCAGTCTACTGTTTATGTACCTGGGGAGCCATTCTACAGGTTTCAGGATGTTTTTTTATATGAGTAGGCAAAGCTTTCCAGTCACAAGAATCTCTAAAAAGTTTGTATTCGAGAGTACCATCAGGGTGATACCAAAGCATACTAACATTGCTCACTGTGGGATCACCAACTTTTTAACCTGGTCTAATGCTGTTTCTGAAAGCTTTTTAAAGAAACTAAATTCCAGTTGCTGTAAAACGTATGGCTTTGGATTTTGCTTATCTGTTTGCATCATCACCACTAAATCTCCGGTCTAAGATATTTACCCCCTAGGTAATTACCCCCCCCCCCCCCCGTTCCCTCAAGCTTGAAAGACCTGATCTTAAACCTAACCCCTAAATCCAACACTATAATCCAACACTATAATTTAAGCTAACTCTCAACCAAACCTCAAACCTAACCCTAACTATAGGCCTAATCTTACCTTAAACCAAACCTTGAGCAAAAGCCTCAACCTAAGCATTCACCTCAATTTAAATCCAACCCGAACCGTAGAAATAAGTTTAAGCTTAATCCTAACCCCCACACTAACCCTAACCCCAGCCCTAACCCTAGGTGTAACCCTAACCCTTTCTTTATCTTGTTTTTTGCAACTTTTATAACATTGACTCTAAAATGATGCGCACTCTTCTGAAAATTCAGAACATCTATAATAATAGTTTGGCTGTCTGTGTATCTGTCTATGTATCTGTTGGGAATGCTTTTACTATAGAGAAAACACAAGCAAAGTTAGAACATTCACAGTAATACGGAAAATAAAACATGACGTAACATGGAACATATAGTAAGAAATAGTCTAAAGCCGGGAAAGTACACCCAATAATATGACATCATTATTTCTCGAGTAAACAATGAATTAAAAAGCCATTTGTCTAATCTTAAAAGTGGTTTGCATGCAGTTTCTTTCATGAAATCTTTTGGGCAACCTTAGAAAAGTCAATTTGGCTAGAGAAAGTTCATAAGTTTCCTAAAATAAAGGTCACAATACTGTACTTACAATGAAAGTACACATTTTATAAATTTGTGGCTAACACATTATCTGTAATTTATCTGTAATCTGGAATTTATCCAAAAAAAAACAACTGGAATTTTATTTTCAAAATAGTGTACGAACCCTGTATAAAACAGCTTGTTGCACATGATTATTGATGTCTTGTTTGATATACCTTAGATGTATCAGTTTTCAGATTAGTAATTTTTTTATAGATCGTCAGGATATGTTTTGTTTTATAAAGTTATAGTTAATCAGTACTGCATTTATTATTTGACAAGATAAGTCTGATTGTATCATGCTCATATGCACTTTGAGATATTGCATAAGGAAATAGCATGTGATTTATTTACTTTCAAATATTCTATTCTTTTTAAGTATATCAGTTTGTATTATGCTATCATTATGTATAATTTTTGTAAATGAATACACATGTACATATTTATGTATATATAAAATATAGATAAATGTTTTTCATTTTATGATCTATAAATGGAGTTGGGTATAAGCAGGTCCATGTGGACATCCACAAATTAATTAAAACATCAGTAGAAGTGTAGGTTAAAACAACCACAATAGTTAATCTTACATTCAAAATGTGTCAATTGGAAATGAAGTTAATGAAAACTGGAACTATTTTTAATATTTAATAACATTTGAAACACTATAAGCGCTGCCAAGTGCACACAATTAATACATATTATTAAATTTTGAGAGAGCTGTTTTTGGTTATGTAGACTTGCACGTAAATGTATTGGTGGGGTAGAAATTTCAAAAAATTTATGTTTGTAGATCTCATAAATAGATATTATCACAATTACATATATATATATATAAATATATAAACGTATATGTGTATATATATATATATATGTATATATATATATATATTTCATTGAAATTATATTTTGTTTATTAGAATCACTATATTCCATGTAAATATTATTATATTTAATTTTTTAGTGTGGATCGTGACAAGTCAAGGTAGCACTAGTTCAGCCACTACTCAAGCTCCACCCATAACAACATCACAACCCCCAACAGCACCTACTGCCAAAGGGAATCCTTAAATATATAGGACAAGGTGTGCAAGAACAAGACTTTACTTAGGTGACTGACGGCAGAAATGTTCAAGCTAACATATTAATTTGTCATGTTAACTGAAGCAGTTAGCTATTTGCTTGTGTTATATATATATATATATATATATATATATATATATATATATATATATATATATATATATATATATATATAAAATAAGCAAATATCCATTTACACATAAAAATAACCATTGACACATACATGAATACATGTTGTTATTACTATCCTCGTAGTCAACTATTTTTAATTTGACGGATTAATTTTTATTTAAAAACAATGCTATTGAATTGGTACCAGTTTTAATCATCAGCAGGTAGAAAAGAAATTTGTAGCATAATAGTAATCTAAGTTTGATAAGCATATTTATATTGTAATGGAAAAGTTGCAGCTGAACTAACTATTACAAAACAGGGTTTCGCGGTTATATGATTAACCCTGGCACTTAAAACAAATTTACTAACTGTACATCCAGACAAAAAGACTTACATTTTTAACCACCTCACTGTTATTGAAAATGAATATTAAAATATAAATATCTAAATACATTTAAAAAGAAAACGGTTCTTAATTTATTGTGTAGTGAGGATGTTTAAAAGCTTAATCGATGAAAATATTAATTCCACTAAAACATAAACACACAACTTTTAAAATCATTGCAATAAAAATTATATATTTTAAATGCTTAAAAAAATTAAACAATATCACTGTATTACATAACAAATAAAGCCCTGATTCACAGCAGAGGCACTTTACTTAGTATTTAGTTAAAAAATTAATAATATTGCCCGCAATTTCAAACAAATTCAAACAAACAAGCTTAACATTAAAAAGCTGTAGAAAATGAAACTAGTGATAGAATAACAAGAAGAAAACAATGTAATTTGAACTTATTATTTCCTGTTTCTTCTGGTATCCTTACAATCTTGTTACCATTGAAACTTCCATCTCTATGCTTAAATTAAAAAGATCGCATACGACTGTACCACGAAAGAAAATTCTCTGGCAATAGTACCTGCAGAAAGCTGTAAAAGGTTAATAATGGCAAATTTTGATCTGAGAAAACATAATTAAATTTGTTGTTCAAAATTCTTTGTTAACATTTTAGTCAGTTTGAGTTTAAAATAATTTTTTAATAAATGGTCATGTTATTTATAAATGTTCTAAATTGATTTAATAGGTAAATGGCTAATAAATTTACAATTTAACTGAAGTCTCATTACTTTTTCAATTATACATATAAGTATTTGTATATATGTGTGTGTGTATATATATTTATAAATATATGTATATATATGTTTATTTATGGTATATACGTGTATATATAAATATATATAAAATATACATGCGTATATATAGGTATATATGCATGTATATATATAAGTATATATGTGTGTATATATGAATATCACATATATATGTGTATATATCTATATGTATATATAAATGTGTATATATATATGTATGTATATATATATGTATGTATGTGTATATATATATATATATATAAACTTACTACCCCGAAAATCATACTGTTCTAACTCAATTTTAGCTTATTGTAGTGAGATTTACACATCTTTTTTTTCAAAATGTACCAAACTTTTACAGTAAAAATATTTGGCAATATCCATTTTTACACATGCTCAGGGAGACAATAAACTTTTTTTTTTTTTGTTAATTTGTTTAAAAGTTAGTTAGAACAGTGTGGTCCTGTGTAAGCAATCTCGATTTAGGTATATATATATATCTGTACATATATATACATACATATATTTATATACATATATGTTTATATACATAAACATACAAGTACATATACTTCAAGTTACACACATATATATATATATATATATATATATATATATACAGACACACATACAAGTTTTTTAGGTAAAATTAGAAGTGGCCCATCATTTACCAATGTGTGACATATTACTGGTGATATAAAGAAAGTAACTGCTCTGTGTAGTTGTGTGAGTATAAATGGGCCTGTATATGTTAACATGGATAGTATATACATAGAAAGGTATTAATTACAACAATACTGCATCACTAATTACAGTTTCTTGTACTAGTAACCTCACCTAGAGTAGCATTTTTTTTTTGGGGTAAAGTCTTACATTTTTTTTAAAAACTTCATCTAGCAACAAAATATATTTATTGCTAAAAATAATGTGTCTTTGTTTATATATGAATTAAAGAAATTTGAAAATTAACTTTTAAAAGTACACTTTTAAATCACCAGTTGATTTCTTTTCATCAATGTCTTAGTGACAGCAATTTTTAAAATAAATTACACACATAACAATGTTTTGGTGAAATGTACATCACACTTTTCATTTATGGTTTGAGAATCTCATTTTCAATTTTTTTGTAGCAAATTTGTTTGACAACATTTTGTTTTCAATTATTTGTATCTTTTTTAATTCACACAGTATTTTTTATTATTATGCTGGGAATTTAAAAATATAATTTTAAACAGAATAGAAATAATATTTAACAATTTTTTAGTGTAAGCAGGTCAATAAATGTAAATTTATTGTCATCATACAATAAACAATGTTGCTTCTCAAGTTTTCTCTAATTAAATTTTGCCTTTTGAAAGGTTCCCTATGGAATAGAGCTAATTTTTAACATAATGCTCTTTAACATCCTCAGAAGGATTAGTTTACAATGTGCAGTGTACGTTATCATATTTAAAAAAGGAGCCAGAACGCATGTTGTATTTTAAAAATTGTAGTCTTCTTATGTATATATGTAAACCTTTGTCAAAATATCCACATTAATAAAGAAGTCAGTTTGCAAAATGCTTAGGTAAGATATAAGAGGATGTATTTGTACATATGCTTAAGCCGAAATTCGCTTAGTCTATTACAAAGATATGTATATAATTATTTAAATATTTAGGCCTATATATAAACATGCACATTTATTAAAAGTGATGTTTTACTTTTAGGGTCCTGATTGATTGAAAATTATAAGCATTGTAAGAGGAAAAGCAAATTTTCTTTTTTGTGTTCTAATTAATTTTCACTGATGGCTAAAAATGTGATGATTGTCATTACCTTGCCATGGTAATCTCTAGTTTCTAGTCCATATCATTCACAATTTGTGAATATTGTTTATTCTAACCTTTTCTTTTTTTTGAGAAGTATGTCCTCATTGTATGCGTAGGATATTTTATTCATTCAGTTTTTTTAGGAATTAAATACGTTTACAACTTTTGCGACCCTATGAATATTATTAATTCAAATTATTAAATTGTGACTTTTTAATTACATTAGTTGTTTTGTAATTTTAAAATTACTCTTAGCTTTTTCTAATTATTATTTAGTCTCCTTTGTAATCAGTGAATGTTTAACAAATTTTTTTGTTGAAAGTTGATATCTTGCAACATTACTTGCTTTTAAAAATAGTCTTATAAAAAGTAATTTAAGAACTAATTTTTATAAGAATCCTAATAGTTTAACTGCCCTTAAAGCTACCTTGTTTTATTTGAGAAATTCATGTTTACATGTTACACACCAAAACTTTTTTGTTGTATAAACTACTTATGTTTTTGCCTCCAGTGGAAAATCTCTTTATCATTCCAGATAGCCTACATGTGCAGATTTTGGGCAAAACATATTTTAGACTGTTTAGCTTTGGTAGAAAAATGTATATATTTTTCACTAAATGTTTCTGTTTAGCTAGATTTATCTAAGTAATAATGTTGAGAAATGCTTAAATTAAAAAACAAAACTAAACCCTTTGATAATTTTTTGGGTGTATATCTTAAAAATTCCATTTTCTTGTGTTTTTTTTTACTTGTGAAAACAAGTTTTTTAAAATTTCATTTAAAAGAAAACATTGCTTTGTAAAATTGTAAGCTTAGTGTAGAACCTGATTTGTATTGTATTCTGCACAAAGACTATGCACAGCTGAAAAAAATAGTAAATGAATATATTTAGAAATAGAAAGTTGTGGGTAAATCCTATCAGCTAACGTCAACCATTATTTAATGTACTGAGTGTAAAAATATGGTGGTTTTTTTCTTATTGTACTTTGTAATAGATTGTGTCAAGTTTAATAATAGTGTGTAAATTAATTTACTTTTTAAAGTATTTTAAATATGAGCACGTTTTGATAGTACTTAAACATGGATAGTGCTAGTGGTGCCAATAATACTTTAAAAAAATAATAAAATGTGTATTTATTCATGCCATTAATTATATTATTTTATTAATGTATTGAGTTTTGAATTATTATTTTCTCTTTCTTTGTACCTTAGTTTTAATTACTCACCCACCTAAGATCTCATGAAGTAAAAAATGAAGAGAATTTAAAATCTTAGTGTTACTAACTTACATTATACATCTCTTGAAATAAGTAGGACTTTTTGAAAAGGATTTTAAAAGCGCTGACAGAACAGTAATTTTGTACTTCATTCCAAAAATTTTAGATCATTAAATTATTGATTAGAAAATTGGTCTGGTGGGATCTAAAAATACTAAAATAAGTATTTTTTACAACAGATAAGTGTATTTTCAGGATATTAGAAAGATATTTAAGCATCGTATGCATTACCTAACTCTATCGTTTGAACAATAAAAACTTGTGTTGAAATGCATTTTCCATTATCCATCATTTAACTTTTAAGGAAATTTTCTTTCTTAGTATAATTTGCAACAATTTTCTGCAAAACATTTTAGTTATAGACCAACTCAGTTCTACCATTTTATTTATTCGATTGACAAGAATATAGTAAGATAGCATTTTAAAAAGTATTGAATAATACAAATATTCAGTTATGTATTTTTTTTAAGTCTATAAACATTAAAAAGAAATGAATGATATAATGGTTATTAGTCAAGTTAAATTTGTTTTACAAACATACTCTTACTTTATACTTCTTTTTTTTTACATCAGTATGGGTAAACTGTATACTACATAGGCCTATGAATATTAGACAAATTACATAACACTAAAAATGTCACTTTTCACATAAATAGTCTATATTATTCTCTATAAGTTATAAGTATAACAATGTCCATGCTATTTAGGGGTCGTCCATAAATGACGTCACACTTGTAGGGGAGGGGTCCGTAATTTTGTGGTGGGGGGGGGGGGGGTTCAGATGGTGTAATGTCACACTATTGCGTTATCAAAAAACAATTTTAGCCGTTATTTCGCGTTTTAGAAAACTTCATAAAAGGTAATAGGATTTGATTAAAAAAACTCTATGTTGATGATAGAGTTCCGACAAGATTTTGGAAAAATCGCATTTTAAGAAAAATTTAACTGCAACTTTGAGGGGGGGGGGGGTTGTAGGCTGAGGTTAGACGTCATTTGGGGGGGGGGGGAGATAAAAAGCGTGACGTCATTTATGGATGACCCAGTGTCCTTACTATTTAGAACAGTACAACTTTGTCTATACTAATTAGAGCATGGTTCTAAAAATATGCTTTTCACATAAAATAAAAACAATGAATGTGCACAGCTAATCTGTATGGCTTCTATTGTTGCCTATCAGACACCTGTCAGCTTCATCTTGAATTCAGCGAGCGACGTGTTCTTGTATATTCCATCTCTGTGCAGCTCAAGGAATTTTTGTCGGTGCTAGACTAGGAATTTCTCAACTTGGCATTGCAAATAATGCAATGGAGGCGAGTGACGAGAATCTTTCCATCATGTTGTTAACAATATTGACATGGAATAAAAACGTGCTTTTTTTTTAGATTTAGACTGTAAAAATAATTTTAAAAATTAAAACTTAAGCCTAAAATTAATTTTGTGCGGCGTTAAAACGGCCAATGACAAAACGGCCCCCGTCAAAACGACCCCGACATATGAGCCCCGTCAAAAGGGCAAGCAACATATGAACCCCGTCATTTAGGCTACTGACAAATAGGTTCCGATATATAAGGCTCCCGACATCATTTGTCCGTGAGATATTTTGTCTGAGATCATTTGTCATGGAACCCCTACAAGCATACTGAAGGTAGGGATGACCAGGGACCCCTCTCCCCGCACAATGAGTTGGAACAGCCTATAACCGACTCACTTATGGAGGTAATAGATACCATCTAATATATAAAGCTCAATTATGTATGTAACATGTTTGTAAAATGTAAAATGTTTGTCGTGGATACTTCGATGGATTTAAGTTTAAGTGTTAGATTATCATAGTGCTCAGGGTCTAAATTTATGAGTAAAAAAATCTACTATT